GGTGTCCGAGGGAAGGGTAGAGGGGGGGGGGGAGTGCTGGGAACATGGCTCTCCTCTCCGTGTTCCCTAATGCTCCTGACATCCCAGAAAAGCATGCGGATTAAAGAGGGACCCGACCCCTCTGATGTAACACTCGGATATAACCCGCTGACACCTTTTAACTTAAGAAGTCGTTTTGCTCGGCCTATAGGAGTCGCCTCAGCAGGGGCGTCATGCAAAGATTTCTTTCTGACAGATTTTGGAAAGCAGAGTTTAGACTAAAATGGTCCACGATCCAGCACCGGGTCTCCTCTCTCTGGCGTACGGCCACCGACACTTCCAGGTTTTGATCAGCGTGCCAGGAATGCAGCCAATCGGGAAAAGGTTCTCCTGATTGGCGCTGGTTTCAATGGCTAAGTGACGCACAGTTCGGCATCCGAGCGGTGCGTTGCTAGACCTTAACTTGACTGCCCCATTCTCCAGTCTCTCTTGTTGCAAAATCTTATCTGTGCACCCGTGTCTCCAGGTGTCAGGAACCGGATCTGAACCCGGGGCCTCTGCTGTAGCTGGTTCTACCTGCTGAGCCACCTCAGAACCTTGGATAGCTCCTTGTCTGATCTCCTGTGTAATCCTCAGGTAAACCTAGTTTCTGCTGAACTCTGAACTCCTTGCTCCTCCCTTGAACTTCCTATTTAAGCTCCGCCTCTGCACTTCCTGTTTGCCGTATTATTGTGCTCCTGCCAATATCTTGCTTCCTGCTCCCTCTGTGATACAATCTGCTCATACGGCTACCCGTGTACCGACCTTTGGCTGCTGATTCACCGACTACTCTCATCATCTTCCACTTCATACCTGATACCTTTGGCTCCTGACCTCGGCTTGTTCACTGACTACGCTTCTGCCTACTACCGCCTGCTTGTGTACCAAACCCGGCCTGTATGACTACAACTTTGCCTGCTGCTTCAGCTGCTGGACTCTGAGCCTGAACCCAGATCGGGACACCAGTGACCCCAGTGTTCCTGTGTCTCCAGTGACCCCAGTGTTCCTGTGTCTCCAGTGACCCCAGTGTTCCTGTGTCTCCAGTGACCCCAGTGTTCCTGTGTCTCCAGTGACCCCAGTGTTCCTGTGTCTCCAGTGACCCCAGTGTTCCTGTGTCTCCAGTGACCCCAGTGTTCCTGTGTCTCCAGTGACCCCAGTGTTCCTGTGTCTCCAGTGACCCCAGTGTTCCTGTGTCTCCAGTGACCCCAGTGTTCCTGTGTCTCCAGTGACCCCTTTGTTCCTGTGTCTCCAGTGTTCCTGTGTCTCCAGTGTTCCTGTGTCCCCAGTGTTCCTGTGTCTCCAGTGGCCCCAGTGTTCCTGTGTCTCCAGTGACCCCAGTGTTCCTGTGTCTCCAGTGACCCCAGTGTTCCTGTGTCTCCAGTGCCCCAAGGTTTCCGGTGCCCCCAGTGCCCAACCCCAGTGTTCCTGTGTCTCCAGTGACCCCAGTGTTCCTGTGTCTCCAGTGACCCCAGTGTTCCTGTGTCTCCAGTGACCCCAGTGTTCCTGTGTCTCCAGTGACCCCAGTGTTCCTGTGTCTCCAGTGACCCCAGTGTTCCTGTGTCTCCAGTGACCCCAGTGTTCCTGTGTCTCCAGTGGCCCCAGTGTTGCTGTGTCTCCAGTGACCCCAGTGTTCCTGTGTCCCCAGTGGCCCTAGTGTTCTTGTGTCTTCAGTGACCAGAGGTTCTCCAGTGACCCCAGTGTTCCTGTGTCTCCAGTGTTCCTGTCAGAATATTTATACTGCTAAAATAACAGTTTTCCTATTTATGAAAACAAGCAAGGATCTATAATTAAAGGAGAACTATGGGGTTAAGGCTTTCCCCCATAGTTCTCCTTAGGGTAACGGGAGGACACAAACTAGCGTCCTCCCGTCACCCTAAGCTCAGTAAACAGCTGCTCGCGATATACTGAGACGCCGCAGCTGAAGCGGATGCAGTGACCCCGGTATCTCCAGTCTCCAGTGACCCCTGAACTCTTTTGCCTCCAGCATCTCCAATGACCCAGCGCCAGCATGCAAAATGATGTGGTTCTCTCCAGAAGGCGCCATCTTTGTTCAGCACTGACGATCCTTTTTACTCTCATGACTCTCTAAACCATACAGCCGGAGCTCTTTACTCTACCAAACTTCCTCTGGGGATAAAGGGAGACCCATGAGGGTCACTTACCACCGATGACAGGTCCACATTGACCATTCTCCGATCATCCAGGCCCACCGGCTGTAGACCGGCCACATTCAGCTTCGCCGAGGAGCTTCTGTACACGAAACTCAGCAGCCAATCCCCTCTGTAGGACAGGATGAGACTCGTCAGTGTGGTGACAACCCCCGGGGGGAAATGTCAGAGCAAAACACAGAGGGAAATCGCCGGCATTGCCATCTGCCCGGGAAATAG